GCAGAAAGGTAAAGAAAACTATAGATTTATTTCATCTATGAACACAGAGACAAAAACCTAAAAATTCCGGCAAATCCAATACTTGGTATTGTGTGTGCGTGTGCATGTAGTGACTGAGAGTTATCTCAGATATGCAAGGGCTACTACATATAAGCTACAAACAAAAGCAACAAGTGCTACCAACAAAAACACTACAAAGCAAATTTAACCCCAATCCAAGAGGTGAAAGATCTCTACAATGAAACTATAAAACACCAATGAATGAAACAGAAAGACACAAATGGAAACATTTCATGCTCATGAATTAAAAAATTAATATTGTTAAAATGCTCACACCACTCAAGGAGGCCTGCACAATCAATGCTATCCTCATCCAAATACCAGTGACATTCTTACTAGAAAATAGTCATAAAACTTGTAGGAAATTTAGCAAAAGCTATCTTAATGCCCTACACTGCTTCACTTAAAAATTTACTACAAGGTTAGAGTAATTAAAATAATAGAGTACTGACATAAACAGACACATAAACCAGCACCTAACAGAGCCAAGAAGTACAGTAACATATCAGGTGCTAAGAGCACACCATGGAGAATGGGCAGTCTTTTCAACACAAGGTACAGGACAAACTGGATATCCACATGCACAAGAATGAAACTATGACGTATACACAGAAATCAACTCAACATAGCTTAAAGACTTTAAGGTAAGATCTACAACTATGAAGTAGCTAGAAGAAAATATAGGGGAAATACCTCTGGGACTTTGGAATGGGCAGAGGCTTTCTGAGTAAGATTGTAAAAGCACAGCAAACAGAAGCTAAAATAGACAAAGGGGATAATGTCAATGAAAAGGCTTCACACACTGATGCCAACATCCACAGAGTGAAGAGCCAACCCACAGACTGGGAGAACATATCTGTAAACATACATGTGACAAGGGGTTAATATACAGAACACAAAGACCTCAGACATCTCAACAGCAAAGCAGGACAAAACATGCCAGAGCAAGAAGCAAAACCAAACTATGCAATTAAAAATGGGCAACAGACCAAAATACATTTCTCAATAGCCAACAAGGCAAGGAGAAATTTTATAACATCATTATCAGGAAATGCAAATCAAAATCACAGTGGAATATCACTTCACTGCAGTCAGAAGCACTATTAGTGAGAAAAGATAACAAGTGATGGTGAGGGAGTGCAGAAAGGGAACCCTTGCATATTGGTGGGAACCTAAGTTAGTTCTACAGTTATTATGGATAGCACTTTGCAGTTCTTCAACAGATTAAAAGTAGAACTAGTATATGATGTTGAAGTTCCACTACTGAGTACATATATAAAGGAAATAAAATCAGTATGCTGAAAAGTCATCTGAATTACCATGTTTATTATAGCATTATTTATAATAATCAAGAAATAAAAAACTCAGTGCCCATCAGCAGTTTAATATATGCACAATGAAATACTAATTCACCCTAGAAAAGAACAAAATCCTGCAAGTTGTGACAACATGGATGGAACTGGGGAGCCAGGCACAGAAAGACAGATGCTGCTTAATCTCACCCATATTTGAAATCTAAACAAGTAAAAGAGGCTAGAGAACAGGGGGAAGGAGGGATGAGGAGAGGTAGATCAATGGGAACTAAGTCGTAGCTAGACAGGAGAAAGAGATTCTGGCGTTACATTGCACAGTTGAGCGACTATAGATAACAACAGACTTTATATTTTTTAAAAAGTAAAAGATTTGAATGTTGAATAACTGATAAATGTTTGAGATATATTTATCCTGATTTGAATATTACACAATTTATACACATATCAAAACATTACATGGTACCCCATGGATAGGTATGATTTTTATGTATCAGTTAAAAATAAAAACCATTTACCAATATCATCAAATTTAATGGTGAAATTTGAGGCAACTTTCATTAAACTAAGGAACATCAAATCTATTTATTCTCAATGGTTATTTTATACTAGAGGTCCTGTCCAAAGCAGTAAGACAAAAATAATCAGAAATACAATGGGAAGATAACATTTTTTCATACAGTTGACTATGTAAACATTTGAGAGAATCTACAAAATAGTCCATTTAAAAAGAGAATCAATATGAAATACCTGGAGATTAAACAACACACATCTAAATAACATGAGTCAAAGGAAAAAAAATCTTTAAAAATATTTCAGGTTTTTTTTGTTGTTGTTGTTAACAGGGCTCGAACTCGGGTTCTTTCACTTGTGAGGCAGGCGCCAGAACCCCTATGCTAAATCCCCAGCCCCCCAAAATATTTTGAATTAAATGAGACAAAATCACAGCTAATCAAAATTTAGGGGAAGATGAAGATGAAAGAAAGGGCCCAGTTCCTAGAACAATCCTTATATAAGCAACAAGTTACCAGTTTTACAAACACCTGGAGGAAATGGAGCAGCTACTAGAAACGTAATGGAAGGAAAGTGGCCAGGTGGTGCCTTCATGGGCTGCACTGTGAGGGAGCCACTTGGGACATCTTGGCCACGATCTCCTAGGACTCGCCATCCTCAACGAAATTCATTTGTGCCCTCAGATTGGGGCAGTTTGTTGCAGGAGCAGCAGCGTCTCCATTAAGCAAGTGTCCTTGTCTTTAGATTACTTGGCTCTCCCGAGCCTCACAGTGGAGGCTACAAGAGGGGCCTGGAAGCTCGACTGCACCTCCCAGGCACCAACAGCACAAGATAGGCCAGGAGATGAGAGCCAAGCACTGCGCCGCACATCTGATCCCAGCACTGGGGAAGCTGAGGCAGCAGAGCCTCCCTTGAACTAAGTAAGCCTTGCAATCCAGCAAGATGCCAACTGAGCAAACACTTCAGGCAACTACACCAGCCACATGGGAGGACCCAGGCCGTCACGGTCAGATTTGCAGAAGGAAACTCTTGAGCACAGTTGGAGCACCTTAATTCCATGGGAGATGACACTGCGAAGCCATGCTCTCCCCTCTGCACCTGCAACACTTTGGGTCCCCTCCTGTTTGGGTTCTGTACTTCATTGGAAGTTATGAACTTGAGGTTGCTAGACATTTTTTGGCTTAATAAATGGGAGTGTGATACTCACCCTGGCTTAGTTTATAGCTAATGAGACACTGGGAGGTGGAGCCTGGAGGAGGTGGTCACTAGGGGTGTGGCCTGGAAGGGTCTGTCTCCCTCTTTTTCCCTTGATCTCTTTCTGCTTCCTGCCTGCCAGGCAAAAAGCAGCTCTCCTCTTGTAAGACCCTCTGCCGTGCCACCCTGCCATGCAGCCAGCTGACTGTGGACTGAAACCTCTATAAACTGTGCCAAAGTAAACCTTTCTTTCTTTAGTTAAGTTGGGAGAGGGCCGGAGATTCAGTGGCACTGTGCCTGACTTGAAAGCGCAAGGTCCTAAATTTGATCCCCGATCGCTAAGTTTTGAGTGTCAGATATTGTGTCTCAGCAACCAGAAAGTAACTAAGACGATAAGGATTATTAAAATACATTTTTTTCTAAACTTTGGAAATTCAACAGAAGCTTGCAGCAATCTGAAGAGGGCAAATTCAAGAAATAGAAATACAATATTGAGTCTCAATACAAATATAAATTTTTCCTGTTCTCATTTCCCCCTCACCCGCATAGTCACATTGAAGACTAACAGTTTAGCAATCACCACAAATGCCAACAGCGTAGTACTCACTGCAAGGGGCAGAATTGTTTGGGAATGCCTGAAAAGCACCCTTTCAAGGAAATTATAATTATTTGTCCTGTTTGCCAGTTCCCTGGAAGCCTACTCGGATATACTTGTCTTTATTTGGCCCGTCTCAGAGTTTTCTCAGTGTAAACAGCTTTTTTCTTGGAGATATTTGCCAAAAACAATCAGCAGTAATTGTTTAACACTGCAGGTTTCTGAAGCAGACACACCTGGGTAGAGAAGAAATTTCATAAAATCAACAGGAAAAGCTGGGGGACGCAACGTCCACGGGAGCTCTGAAAGCTTCCACGTGCCTTGGAGTCCAGAAGACCATCTGCACGTGACCACAGTGCGGGGCTGTACGCATGCGCGGGGCAGCGCTGAAGAGGCTTCCAGCTCTCCTCTTTGCTTCTCAGAGGCTTCAAGCAGGCAGAATATAAAGCTTGACGGAAGGTTGCTGACTGAGTGTGGATGTAGCCCAACATGTGCTTAGAGGCTCTTAGAAAGTCTAGGCCCCATCCAGACAGTTAAAGAAATCTGTGTTCACTGTCTGAGCACAAGGCCAACAAAGCAATGGTGACATTTGACAAAGAACAGACTGCACAGAATTTAGAAAATTCACTAAATAGACAAATACTATTATCGACAACAAAACCACCAGCCTAATAAACTACAATAAAAAAACCCCGAGCAGGACAGCAGGCCCTCATTTCTAAAATTGCAATATTATTTAAAAAGTTCAATTTTCAACAAAAAATTGAATGTTAGTAGGCAAAATTAAGTCAGCTATTTTAAAGACTAAAGGAAACCATCTTTAAAGAACTAAAAAAAAAAGTACTGTATGTTGCAAGAAGAAAGATGTCTTACTAAATATGGAATAATTTTCAATTATTTAAAAGAGCCAAGTAAGAGTGGTAATACTGAAAAGTCCCATAACTGAAGAATCTACCACACAGGGTTCTTTGTCAACCAAGAAATCAGTTGCAATTCTACCCATAACTCAACATTTCTTTATTTTAAAAAATTCTTCCTTTACTTCTGTAATCTCTTATACAAGATGACGTACAAACAGAAACTATGCGTGTATAGAAAACAAAACAAAACTTGCTCTATGGAGAAATATGTCAAAACGATGTCCTTAACGAATGTTCAAATAGGTGTAGAGGTTTTCTGAAACATCTGTATGAATAAAGGGTGTTAGAAGACAGCGACATTAAAGGACACAGATGACAACAGCGAAGGGCAGCGAGGACACTAGGATGTGTGCACCGACCGACACAGCCCCTTTTAGAGTGAGCCACATCTGCCCTTACTGTACCTACCAGGTCTGTCTTCGGAGGCTCAGGGGACTCTGCAGAGAAGTAAGGTGTGGAGCTTCTCAGGCTGCTGCCATCAGAAGGTGGCTTTGGAGGCTGGGCATGCTGTCTGTAGGTAGCACTCTTAGGGGTCCAACAAAAGAGGTTGATGGATTCTCGTACACAGCGTTCAATGTCAATTTCTAGATAGAAAAATTTTTTTAAAGTATAAAATTTAGATTGCTTTGTTAAATAAAAGAATCTGTCCTAAACGTATACAGGCAAATATGGCTAAGATGATAACTAGAAAAGAAGCCAGTTGAAAGATGTAGATTTTTATCACTATATTAACAAGTGGAATGGTAGGGGAAATTTGCTATTATTACACACACACACACACACACACGTGTGGGTATATAGACTTATATTTTATGTATTTTGATACCATGTATATCAACAAAACAACATGAAATATAACGCCTCTCCTTATTAATGTTTTTGAGAATAGGTAGACAAAAGATTCAGATACTGATTCACCACAACTTCTAGTAAAATGCATTGACAGTTTAATTGCCACTTATTAAATGACAGAATAATCAGGGCCAAATTTGTCAAATTCTCCATGTAGTCATTTTTCCTTCTTTTATAATCAAAAAATTATTAGTAAAGAATGTTATGCTCATTGAAGGGAATTGGTATATGTATACATTTTAATTCTTTTTCCCCCTTTCCCTCCTCTCTCTCCTCACGTCCTTCATCTCCTGGTCTCCTTCCCATTTGAAAAAGATCTATCTCCCTGTTTCCTATTATCTATCTTTTATTTTTTATACTCTCTTCTCTTTTTTATACTTTGGGTTTCTCCTATAAGAGAAACCATGTAATACTTAAGCTGTGTGTCTGATTTATTTCACTTAACACTGCAGTCTCAAGGTGCATTCATTTCCTACAAATGACTTAAGCTTATTCTTTATATCTAAGTAGTACTCCACTGTGTATAAAGGCCACTTCTTTATCCATTTATCTATTGGTGGACATATACACTGCTTCCAAGATTTATCTACTGTGAGTTGTGCTGCTATAAGCAAGAGTATATATGTATTGCCACAACATGTCATGATGCCTTTAATGGTTTAAATGAGATCTAATGTGGACAGAAATAAATGCACCTGATGAAAACTGGCTTCACAAAATGAACATTTTTACAGAATTTTCTTTTCCAGATTTGAAATCTAAACATCTTTGACGCAGATGTAATATGTAAATGGAAAGGTGATTACAACTCTAAATTATTGTTTATTTTTGAAGGGAATGTAGCTCTTCAGGAGGCCAACATTCCTGAGGAGGAACTGGCCACTGCTCTGTGAGGAAAGAGACCACAGAACAGCAGAAGTTAACTAAGTTGACTGAGATGAATTAGCATTGAATACCCTTTTCTCTTTCTGTTTCTAAAGCCAGCAAATGGCAGATAGTATTTTCACTTTCTCTGCAAAAGTCCGACTATGTCAACTCATATAAGCAATTCAGAAAATTATATGTTGAAGATTACAAAGGAGAAATTATATATTTCTCTTTTTGAAATGAAAAGTTTACAAATAAGGGGAAAAGAGAGCTGGGGCTCTAGCTCAGTGGTTCTGCTGCCTGCCTCACAAGCGTGAGGTCCCAAGTTTGATCCCAGGTACAAAAAGAAAAAAGGGCAGGGGAATAAGCACTAAGCAGGCAGTGCATATGATGGCTAATCTAGGCTGTTGAGTTGTTTGGATTGGGGGATATCTAGAAAATTGGTGAAGCACACTTCAGTGACCATGAACTGAATTTCCTAAAATCATGAGCCAAAATAAATCTTTCATTCTTTCTACTGATTACCTTAGGTATTGTCATAGTGAAGGAATGCTGACTAACAGTCAAGAATTAGCATTCAGGGAAAGGAAAAATGGCACTTGTGCATCCACTGTCCAATAGGCATTGCACACTTTTAATTTAGTCCTCTTTCTCCTCACAATGATTCTTAAAAGTCACATATTATAACTGCCCCTCTCCTGCCATTTCTGTTGAAGATGAAGAAACTGAGACTTCAGAAAAGTAAAGTTTCTTATGTATTTGTGTGCTCCCATGTGTAAAATGTCTAAAGTTACTAAGAGATTATATCATTTTAAATTTCCCAATCCATTAATGTTTGGAATATAACAAGCAAGTCCAGAAAGATCAGTTACTCAATTAAGCATTCCTTTATCTGCTATTAGTGATTGTTCTGCCAACTTCACAGCTGGTCCCCTCCATGGCTGCACAAAGAGGTCAGATTTCAGCAGTCCACATACTATTCCTATTATAAAATTCTATGAAAATTAGTCAAACATGCTTTGAAACATGAGCATATTAGTTGAGCAATAGCAATATAGTGAATTTTTTTTAAAAGCTCAAAAATTAACCTGAGATATCTTAAGGAAAAGAAGACAAGTAGCAACAAGAAAAATAAAAGTTTAAAATAGTTTCTTCTACTCTTCTGTTTCAGAGAGGTTCAATTTATTTTAGAAAACTTTCAGCTTAAATAGTTAAGATAACAATTTGTTAGCTAAATAGTGAAAACTCTCCGCCGTCCAAATTTGGTCTATTTAAGACTGCTTGACCACACAAGGACAAATAGTTTTGGTTTAGATTCTACATCTCCAGTGTTTAAATCAGTTTGCTCTCTCTGTCATATGGTAAAAGCTGAAATCAGGCCAGTGGTCTACATCAGAGCTTGTAGTTCAGTCCTGAAGTCAGTAACAATGGAAAATGACAATTTGTATCTGATTTCAAAGCATCCTGCTAACCCTATAAGAGCTTTAGGGCCACTTTGACTTTAACTAAGGTCCACCCCGATTCCATCCACCCTGACTGACAGCATGGGTAAGTCCCCTGTTCCCCAATCACCTGATCCAGGCCACCTCCACTTCAAAGTCCTTCCAAAACACTGCATCTAACCACAATAGAATGCAAACGTATTGTGTAAAACGTGCACACAAATGTGCAGTCATACTCACAACATAATCTCCCATCCCATGACACTGTTTTCTGTCTCACATTACAATTTTTTTATATTGTACTATAAATAAAGACACTATAATGTCTTAGGTTTGAATCAAAGCTCCACAATGTACTTTGTGACTGAGCAAAATTATTTCTCCAGATTTTGGTTTCTTCATTCTATATAACTCTTGGTATTTTATCTAAGAAATACTGCACTACTTTCAATGAGAAACTGCAGCTAATTTTTACATTGTGGCAAAGATGGGTGTTGTAGTTAAAGTTTGCAAGGGAATAGACACAATTTATAGGATTATTTTGTAATATTCACTCAAAAAAGTCAAATTCAGAGGAATGCAGGAGATCTGTCCATTTGCTAGAGACCTGAAGGATCCGGCCGAGGGCCTGGACCCCATGGCAAGGTCCCTTTTAAGTCCAGCTGAAGGCCTAGAGCCCAAGGCAAGGTCTTCCATGTGTCTAGCCAGAGGCCTAGAGTCCATGACAATGCCTCATGTAAGTCTGTATAGAGGATTTGCACTGGTAAGGCCCAAAGGCCAGTGGTAGAAGGTAGAAAGCCTACACCTGCAGGGTGAAGGATCTGTGCCACCAGGCTGAGGGATCTGCACTGGCCAGAAAATGATGCTCATGGAGAAGGTCAGAGCTCCCCTGAAGAGAACAGCAGTCATCCTTGGTACAGTGAGGACTTGAGCTCTTCCTCCTATGAGAACAACTGAGTTTTTATTAGGAAAACCAACGTCAGCACCTTCTCCAGGAAAATCAGCAGCATGCATCATTTCCTCCAGTTCTCCTTTTATTTTGCTGGCAACAATCCTCAGGTGGGTCATCCATGCCCAGAACCTTGCTGACTCAGTTTAGTTGGGTGTTTCAAGTTGACCATTAGTCAACCACAATGGGTAGAAAGACATCTCTCCTGAAGCTCTCTCTTCTTTTCCTTGATGGCTGTAAATTACTTCATACATCTACTGAACAGGTGCCATCCTAGTACTTCTCTTTACCAGTATCCAATTCTCTTCCACTGTCTTCTGCATTTGATTCGTATGTGGGGGAGAGTGGTGCTATTCATTCTTTCTTGATGCATTTCATTGTGATAGAGCATATTTTCCAGTAGCTTCCAAAACACTATGCACAGGAAGCAAATTATTTTGAAACCTTACATGACTTATTCTGTCTTTATTTTGCCTTTGATGGATGCTTTGAGCAGGAGCAGCATTCTAGATTTGAATATTTTTCACCAGAGTTATGAAAGGCTATATTGTCTTCTGTTGAGAAGTCCGATGAAATGTGGTTTTGAGAAAATTTGCATGTGGGTGTCTTCTCTGTACATTTTTAAGGATCTCTAAATTCTGAAATTTCCTGTCATACTTTAATGTATGTCACTTCATTGGGCAGAACATTTGAAGGTTCTCTAGTAAAAAAGTTCTTATTTGACATCTATGACAATTGCTTTATCTTCCCTTTTATTAGAAAAAAAATCTTAAACTTCACAAATTCTCTAATAATTTTGTCATTTACCTCTTTTTATCTGTATGTTTGTTTCATTCTCTAGAAGAACTCCTAAATTTTATCTTCCAATATTTTAACATAAACTTTATTGTACTTCAATTTTAATTTCTACATTTTCAATGAAAAAATTTTTTATTCTCTGTTTAGAAAAATCCTTATTTTTCATGGTTGTGTTATCTTCTCACCATTGTCATTAGTTTTTTTTTAGTCAGCACCGGAAGATAAGGTCTTTGTCTCCCAGCCTTTGTGGGATGGTGGGGACCTAATTTTGATACACACTCATTAGCAAACCCTACAGGTCTCACGTGGACCAACTCACATCTCCTTTCCTGGTTTCTCATATATCTGCAATATTGAACTTCCTGGATCCTACTGAGCCCTTATACATTCTTTTCCTATTCATTCATTCTCCCTTTATAACACCCAGTTACTTTGGGCCAATTCAGAGTTGACTTCAGATCATACCATATTATTCCTCCTACTGCAATAGTATATTACTGATTAGAATCCGTCCTTATCACTTTAGTGTCCAGCTTTGATAGCCAAGTTATTGCTAGTTCAAGGAATGATTCCCTGGAATACTCTCATTGCTTGTTATACAGGTGTAAAGACCAGACAATGTATTCTGACACTAGAAATTAATGGGTAGTAGACACATATTCAAAATGTACATAGC